TCATGGGAATTGTTCCACTTTATTTGGCTTTGATCCATGTCAATTACTGTGTTTGGCTTAGGGCACTACAGTTAAGAAGGTTTCAGAGAAATTGGGACAGGTTCAAAGAAAGCCAATGAGAATGACCCAGGGACTAAAACAACCTTGGACATACGGAAAGAGATTGAAGAAGATGGCATGATTGAAAAGTGAGGAAGACAGCTGAGCAGGAACACAATAGCACTCTTCAAATATTTGAAAACATGTCACACAGAAGAAAATTTACCATCTGTTCCCTCTCATTCAAAAGACAGGATACAGAATAATGGACTGGTTACAGATTGCATTAGGAAAATTCTTACAGGAAGAGCAATTTATCAGCAGAACTAATTCCTCAAAGGAAGTTCCTCTTCATTGAATGTGTTTAAATCAAAGCTGGATAGCCACCTTCTGGGATGCTTTGAATTGGAGTTTAAAAAGCTGAGAAGAAAGCCTTGGCATTGACAAGAAAGGGGCAAAATTGGCGTATCAGCTCTAACAGAACACCTACCATAACTGAGCTCTTACTGGAGGCACAGATGCTGGTAGAATGCTAGTAACACGCCCAAGTTCTAGCAACACATGAGTGTCCCAACTATGGTCAAGTTCAGAGCATCCCAGAACATTATTCATCACTAGTGTTGGTAAAATTCTCAGGCGCTGGAAACTTTAGAAAATACACCTGAAGACCTAGAGCTCCACCAAGCAGTAACAGCCAAGAAGAGACCACCTCAGTCCAGAATCAACCAGTCATAACAAGCCATTCAAAGGAAGAATAGAGAAGGAGGAGGATAGAGTTGTAAATCCAGAAAAAAGAGGCAAGTTAAGCAAAAGTTAAAGCATAATAGGTACACAAGCTTTATTATAGAAAGTTGGCAAATAGTTTATATAACATAAAAAATTAGGATTAGAGAACGGAATAGGAAATAAAAGGTAGAATAGTAAGGCTTCAAAGATAGTATAGACAAAAATACTCTTTTCCAACGAAATCTGTGCTAATAAATTCCATTTGCACAGGAACCCCCATTCTTCCTGTCTCAGTCTGGTGGCATCTCACAATCCTCCCCAACTTATCCTGAATTGAGTAAT